AGCAAGGCACGAAGAAGACGTATATGGATTCCTCATCTTTTGAAAAGAGAAGGATATCATCGTATAAATGAGACAGAAGATCAGAGGGGAGCAAAAATCTTCGTCATGACTTTTTGAAACAGTGAGCAGCGACTTTAAGTCCAAAAGGCATGACGTCCAGGTGTTGATTGGGAATGCAGAAGGCAGTCTTATGACAATCATCAGGATGAATTCCAAGTTGCCAAATCCAGCTTTGAGAGCAAATTTGGAAAACATCGTTGCATATGGAGATTTGCAAAAAGACTTGTCTGGAAGGCAGAGGAAATTTATTATCACGAGAAAGAAATTCAAGGGCTGAATTGATCACAAGTCTGAGTTTTCATTTGGCCTGTTCTGCCGTTTTTGACATAAAAAGTCACATGCCCATTGAGAGTCTGGGGTCAATCAATCTTGAGAAAAAAGCTGAGTACATTCTTGTTGGGCAAGACTGAGATGTTCTAGTGACATGCCGGAATGACTAGTTTTAGTGGGATTGAATCTTCGTCTTGATGTATGAAGACGGATAAAGAAATCCAAATTTTCCATAATGGATGAGCATATTTAGTGAGAAAATCAGCAGAGAATCTGCGTAATAGCGGGAAATAAGCTGGTCTTGATCTGCTCAATAGGATTGCCTTCAATCTGGAATAAATTAGGCTATGTGGTCCAGGATTGAAAAACATCTTGTACCAAACACCATCAGGGAGGATTCTAAGTTTATGAGTTTAGAATAAACATCAAAACCTAGAACCATATCTTTGCCAAGTAGATCAAAACCAGAACTTTATGAAAAATGAAACAGCCTGGGAAAATTTGGAATTTAATGAGTTTGCTGATCAGATGAGTAGTGGAAAGTCTCACTATTAGCTGTGTGAGAACTCCTGATGAGGTTTCCACTGAGAGGCTGGGAGAATCTTAGGGTTGATAATGGTCAGAGTAACACCTGTATCAAAAAATGCTTGACTGAAATGGGCTTGGAGTATTGGTGGGAAAGATTGAACTTTTGCTGTAGGTATGTGACAAGAGAAGGCTAATGATAGAAGGGATTGTGGTGCTTGCTGGATATGGTAGAAATAGTGCCAATAATCTGAATCAGAGTAAGTATCAGTGGTTGCAAACTGGAAAATAGTGTCTGAGGGGTTCGTCATCTATGGAAAACCAACTTTCAACATATCATCAGAAAAATCGATATCGTGAGCTGAGAAAGTTGTTGCACATTTTGATTGACTGCTTGGGCTTGTTTGACAATTTTTAGCAAAATGACCCAGGCGGTTGCACAAATAACACCGATTAGACCGTTTGCCTTTGCGTTTCCTTTTTCGAAGAAACTTGCGGTTCTTGAAACAACAAAATTTGCATGGGCCGGGCATTAGGTGGAGGAAAACTTGATGCGCCTAGAATGAAACTTCTTCATGGTAGGACAAGAACATGAGCGATCTAATTTGCATTTGATCTGCAAGTCTGGTCGTTGACAAACCTTTGTCAGCTTGTTTAGAACGCTCATATAATCATCAAAAAACTGTTTTTGAGAACAAAGCTTTTCCAGAGCAGAATAACAAATTAGTAAATTTCGCCAGAGAAGTGGATCCAAGTTGTTTATTCTGGGACTGCATAAGCTTGGTTGCTTCATGACTGGGATTCAGGAATTGATGCCAAAAAGGCTTGCTTCATATTATGATCATCCATACCCCTAAGTATATGATATTTTTCGTTCTTTGTAATGCTGTCAAGATCTTCTTTTAGAGAAACACCGCACCTTGAAATATCTTCTCTGACCTGGTTCTCATAAAGGTGAGGTAATCCACAGAATCATCATAAAGAAGATACAGAGCTCGGTTAATATTTGGCATTTGGATGAACAAAATTAGATATCACATAATCATAGAGAAGGCCACCAAATCTAGCTGTAAACTGTGTAAGTACAGTAGGACTTGGGCATTAGGTTTCAGCCATCTCAGCTTGTAACCAGGCCTGAAATTCATAATTCGAGTTCTCCATTTGTGTGGAGAAGTCATCGACAGTAAAAGTGTGGAGCTTTGCTGAAGCTGTATAAGAGTCACGTTCAGCCGGAGTATGACGAGATTGTCGATAAATAGGCAGAGAGTCTGGAATGAAATCATCACCTTCAGGCATCTCATCATTGACCTTAGAAACAATAGGTGGTCTGGACGATTAGGTTGATGGGTCATTAGTTAGGGATAAATAGAAGATGTTGATCAGAAGTATCACTGTCAGAGTCAAAGTCACTTTCAAATGATTCATCAGTCGAAGGTATATCGGCTTCTGATTTTGTTGGAAGGTAGATAGAGAATCTTGAGAAAGACCCAAGGCGGCAAGACGTGCCTTTGCCCATGTCTCTAAAAAAGAGCTCATAAAATTGGAAGAGACAGGATTTTGAAGAGTCAGGATTAGCAGAAGGTTGGCGGTCTTCCATCATCATTAGTGCATTGGAGCCTTATCCTTAGATAAACGACGATGAGGCTTAGGAGATGGAGGATCTGAGTGATTGGAAGAGAAAGAGTCAGGAATATCATGGATGGGGTATGTGGTCTAGAGAATACTTTCTCGTTCTTTGTTCTCGTTCCAGCTTGATCTTTTCATCACATTCTTTGGGAGCTTGGCATAACTGTTCAGTGTTGCCAAAAGCTTGACAGCACCAGAAGGTATGAGGGTGAGACCAAAGGTTGGCCAATTTTGGGAAAGGGGAAAAGAGGGTTATGGCCATGCTGATGTGGAGTCAAAAGGGTTTGGTAATATGACATTTCAAGAAAGTATGGTTGTCTGAGTTTTGCTAAGATATTCCTGCTGAAGCGATGCCATTTGGGTTTTTAATGACTTCATTCTGCTCCTTCTAGAGAAACTAAGTGAATAACCATGAGAGCTGCTGACAATTGCAGGAATCCTGATGGAGCTGATCAATTGTTTTTGTAACGAGAAATCAGCATAGTTTGGTTCTGAGACTGAAAGTCCACCTGATGAGCTACAATCCAGTTTTTGTTCAAGTCTGGTCATGGTTGTTTTGGGCTAAGCATTTTCAGTCTGCCAATTGAGAACTGCTTCAACTTGGAGAGTTTAGGTGTGGATCCATCAGGCTGTATAGCTTTGGAAGGAACAACTCTTGGTTGTTCAGTGGCAGTTTCTTGAAGAGAAGGAAAATCTGTATCATAATTGAAATGATGTCTTGTCTTGAGGGATCTGGGGATTGGATCTCATAACGGACTGAACAGAGGGGGAGTATGAGCAAGGGTGAAGGGTTGGTTTATGTTCTTTTGCAATCCACCGAGAGAGTTGATAACATGATAAAGGCTGTTTGAAGTAAGGTGATTGGCAGGTTTGGATAGTTTTAAAGGTGGTTTGGGTTGAGGTTTCAGAGGGAGTCCCATGAGGGATTACAGGATGGTGAATCTTTTTAGCTGGTGGAGAATATTGACATATAGTCAAATTACCATACGGTTGACACTAAAAGATCAACTTCAGGATCATGTTCTTCAAATCGGGAATGAAGATCTGTCTGACTGCAGCGAGCTTTCTTCTTTTTGGTTGAATAGTTTCGTTTGGAAGATAATGCTCATCGATTTCCCAAATAGGTCATCAGGCATTGCCGAGCATTGGCAGTCAAGATCAAATGGAGTGGGACCAGTGAACTGGATCATATGATGAAAACAGGAGCACCAGATTATTGAAAAGAATGAATGGAAGTCCAAGGTCCCGTACTGCGGTAGTGGGTATGACCGGAGTAATCATGAATTGAGTTTGTCGAACGCAAAGGTGGAGCACTGGGAGTTGCTGGAGACCTAAATCTGATAGTTGTTGTTCCGTCACTGTTATCATGCATGGTAGATTCTGTAGAAACCACCGGAGTTTCTTTTTTGTGAAGAGACTCGTAACTCATCACCCAAGAGTCGGGTAACAATTTAATCAAATCATCTCTGGAAATTTACCTGGGAATATTGATGTAGTGAGGAGTATTCTCAGAGTCAACAGTAAGGAGCAGTGCATCAGTAGTCGTAGGGATAGCGAGATCAAGAGCACAATCTTGGATTCGCCAAACCATTTGATAATGCAAAGTAGCTACAATACTTCTTGGATTTAAATCTGCACCAACGATCTGTAATTGAACTTTAAGAGCCTTAGAGCAATGAACATCAGAGAGGGACATGTTGAAATTAGGAAACAGTGTCATAATGATTGTCCCAGCATTCAAAGTTGTTTGTGCTGTCCCTATACAAGCATGTTGATATTGGACAAATCGGGTGTCCAATAAAGCAATTCGAACAGAGACTGAGAGTCCTTTTCTGCCATGATAAGATAGAGCGAGTCAGATAGCGCCAAAGTGCACATGAGAGTATCCTTCACGGATCCATTGGTAATGGATTCTTGAGAGATTTCCAAAGTAACATATTGTTCTTGGGATGTGGCTGGAATTTGACACTTGTCAAAAGTACTAGTCTGGACATACTCTTTGACTGGCTTTCTGGAAGGACAGACAAGAGTTTTAAAAGTTTTAGACAAAGAAGACGAGGACTTGGAAAAGGCTGTATAAGGATTTACAATAGGAGGGATAGTGTCTTGGATTTTTTGATTTTCTGGGATATAAGATATTTCATACAAACTGTCTACCTTGGAAGAAGATCTAGATAAGTTAGTATTAATGGGAGCAGGAAACGTAGATAAAGCTGAAGAGGAGTCCATGTGCGTAAGTTCAACCGCTTGGATGTGTAATATCACCTCAAATGATAAGGATAGCGCAAGACCCAAATATTACATATAAACATAACTTAAGAAACAGTGAAATAAAACATAACCCAAACTTAAAGGAGCCAATATCCGAGGGGAGGTAATCCTCCGCACACGCAGAGATTGGAAACAATAAGCAACTTAAAGAAGCCAATATCTGAGCGGAGGTAATCCTCCGCACACGCAGAAATTGGAATCTATAAGCGGTTTGGCTCTGACACCACACGGATTACTAGACCTTAGAGATGCCACACGGATTACTAGACCTTAGAGATGCTGTCAGAAAATCATGGAGTTTATGCATGTGGGAAACTATGATAGCTGACCTAAGCGAAACCAATCAACACAACGATCGGTCGAAAAGATGGTCAAAAAAAAAAAAAAAAAAAAGGCAGCGCTCTATTCCTCAAACTTTACTAATACATTAATAAATTTTGTTTCTTTTCTTCAGTGTGTATCTGTATCTGAAATTATGGGTGCCTTTAGCTCAAAAGGAGAGAGGAGAGGAACAAGAGAAGGCTGCAAAAGCTAGGGAGCATCTGAGGACTCTGGAAAAGGGTCTTGAGGGGAAGCCATTTTTTGGAGGTGAAACGATAAGCTTCTTGGACATTGCGGTTGGCTGGATTGGTATCTGGGGTCGAGCTGTTGAGGAAATTGTTGGTGTAAACCTGTTCGATGCAGAGACCATGCCTTTGTTTACTGCTTGGTTGAACAAGTTTCTTGAAGTTCCCATTATCAAAGAGTGTTTACCATCTTGGGATATATTGCTTGAGCACACAAAAGGATTCCACAAGATTTTGACAGCTGCATCAACCTGAAGCGTTTACAATCATTTCTGATAGCTCATGCTATAGGGTGACATATGGTTTATATGGATCCATTTTAAGCTACATATAAATCATATTTAATAATACAATGCATATGATTTGTAATTTCTCTAAAAGACTATGTATGATAGATAAAGTATTAATGATATTGTATCACAAATATTTTGCTAAAATTAGGAAAGTGCCCAAGTTTTATCCATCTGGGAGCAGCTATGCAATCTGAATTACCAAAACTCCAGGCTTTAAACAACAAATAACAAACCTGCGTCAACCAAGGGAGCCATGATTTTGGTATACGAACTTTCATGTATTCCTTTGCTTAGTTTTCAAAATCAAAACCTAAAAACAATTTTACTTGTTTCCACCAGGGAGCCGATAGGACTCAGTTCATAGTTTTATTTACGAGTTGAAGGCTTGAACAAGGGTAGAAGTATCATTATCTATCTCAATGCCATCCTTCTCCATCATTTTAAGGATGTCAAAAGCAGGTTTCTGAGCACTAAGGTGCATTCTAAGCAATGATTTATACACTGGTAAACTTGCAAGGCCAAATTGATGGACGACTTTAAGGTACTGGTTTGCATATTTAAAATTCCCATGCTTCTCGAAGTACTCAGCAATGGCCAATAAACTACCATGTGATGGTCTCCAATCACAATGTTTCAACAAAGAAAACCCTTTCTTCATGGCATCTATAGCTTTGACCATATTCCCGCTGTTCAACCATCCCTCCATAAGAATTTCCCAAGTCTTATAATTTGGGCAGCCGCCTCTCTCTAATGTGTGAAGATGTAATAATTCAGCTTCTTTCACCAGTCCATTCCGCATGTATGCACCTAAAAGAACATTAGAAACTCTAATGTCATAATTTCGACAATTGGACTCCCATTCCATAAAAATCCTCTTGGCTTCCAAAAAATCACCTAGCTTCACCAAACATGATAATACACAGATGTAACTGGCACATGTGATCCTCCCACTCACAACTTTACTTGCATCCCAAAGCCGAAGAACTCCCTTCTTATCACCCAGAGAGGCATATAGAGTAAGAAGGAAAAGATACCCCAGGCGATTGGAGGCAGACAGCTTCTTCTCTGCAAGTTTTAGTGCCACAAAGGCTTTATCAACAAGGCCTGCTTTTATGTAAGCATTGGTTAAAGTGGATAGGGAGCTCCATCCCAGTTCAACATTTTTATCACTCAACAGTTCTTTATAAACCATTTCAACTGTAGGGCCCCCACAAATCTCAGCACAAGCATCCATCCAAAGGTTGTACGAGAGAACAGTTCTGGGTATCTTGTTCTGCTTCATTTGCAGAATAACAAGGGGCACTTTATTATACTGTGAAGTAGCTATATAAAGCTTCATCATCTCATTAAATGGATGAGGGCTCACAATCATCCCCAAGCCACTCAGTTTCACCATGAAAGCCTCAGCTTTGTTGACGGCCCTTTCTTTTAGATAACGACGAAGAAGAGGGAGACAGGCAGCTTTCTGTGAAGCACTGTCGGGAATGCTCATAAAATACTCTTCAGCCTCCCCTAAACCGTGGACTTTAATGATTAGTTCCAATCTGATGGCATGATCGCTAGCTGACATCCGTAAACTGTTTTGAGTTTCCATCCATGTCAATATCTGTACATTAACAGAAACATGTAATGTATTTGAAAAAACAATTTTTTTTTTTTGAAGATTTGTTCCAACAATTGTAAAGAACAATGCCCCAAAACCAAAGATGGATTCCCAATAAAACCACGTTCAACAAGTGCAGAATCTAAAATAAAAAGGTTCTTTATATAGTATGCCAATAATTAGTAAAAAAACAGTTGAGGCTTTCAAGAAACTGCTGATTCCAATTAAAATTGCTTTTATAAATTTTGAGTACATATATTAAAAAAACTAATTTATTTTTAATTGATTTTGCAATAAGCAGTTTAACAGAGAACTCACAAACTCTTCCACAATTTGGCGGCAACACCGCTCAATTTTTTTATCAGAAAAAAAAAAAATAAATAGTGGCGCCACCACAATCAAAAACTTTGGGAAGTAAACTTAAACCTCGAGTGCGTGCTTGTAGCGCTTGAATTTCAGTAGCTTCCTATAGATGAATCGGAGCTCCGAAATGGTAATCCCGTGGCCCGAGTCCACCCAGTTTTGAATCACCGTGGTTGCACTGCGCCATGGAAATTTCAAACTCAAAATGTTACTCCCAAGTTCGCCGTCCTTGGTAATGGGAGATTCTTTAAATGGTTTAATTGGCAAGGCGTCTGAGGTTATTAACCTCCACGTAGTTATTGGTCCGAACTGAACCTTGTTGCTGCATTACAGTAACAACTTTACCGTGAATATGAGGAGTAATGAGAGGATATTTACTAGAAGAAAGAGTATGAAGCTTGTACTCACCGTTTTAAATTCGCAAAAAGCGAGCGAATCGCCATAGAAGCCGTTGGAGCACTCTGGCTATGACTTTTATCTCTATATCATCTTATGGAGGCATAGGAAAGTTTAAGGACCGTCCTAAAAAATACGGATGGTTCAGATTCAATTGACAGATTAACTTCTTGAGTCAGTAAAACGACAGCGTATTGGCCTATAGTATTTTTAGGAATTTTTGTTAAGCCCCTCATAAACCCCAAACCAGCGGTGCCAAAACTGATGTCCTTACGATGATCCATTTCTTGAGTAACACGAATTTTTATTTTTTTAAATAAAAAACGAGTCGTATGAAACGACCGATTTTGCTAGCACACTGAGAGGAGCAACACTCTATCAATTGAAAATGGGAAGATTTAGCTGGTTAGGGATGGTCAGTTCTTGAACCAAAAATCACTGCCAATCACTTCGGTTTCTCTTTTTGTTATAGTTTATTTATTTATATTGTCTATTACTCTGCAGTGTCGACGGCTGCTACAGTCATCTATGGTTGTAACATCGCCCATTAATCAAAATCTTTGGCTTGACAAAGCTTCTACATTGCATCAATCGTTATTTCAAGGAAGAGGTAATTTCTTTTTTCACTTGTTTATCCAATTATAAGTTTATAGATAGCATAGTTTCTTATCAGGTTTATCTAATATTATTTAGTTTTTTTTTTTTTTTTTCTTTTTTTTGCCCTCTTGGTTTGGATAAGCTTTGCATAGTTGTACCTTTTTTATTCAGAAACATGCTGATTTTGCAACCACGGGAATGTTATTGGCGAAGCGCTGTATTCATGCCACAGGTGTTTATTGTATTTCTTAACCATTTTTTCTGGGTGAGCATTCTATATTTGTTTGGTTCTTATTGTTCTATTTTAATGTATTTTCAAGGATATTGCTACTCCAGTCAGCGAGACTACTACGAAGTTCTTGGTGTTCCTGAAAATGCGAGCCAGGATGAGATAAAAAAGGCGTTTCATGCCGTGAGTATTTGAGCACTTAATATGCTTTTAAGTTAGGGAATTACATTTTAATCATGATCATGGGAAACCACATCTTCTGATGGCTTGTTCTTTCTTTTCTGCTATCTTGCAATCATTATTAGCTGTTCTTTATGGGGTCAGTGGCTTAATTTTTCCTTAGCTCTTTAAAATAGGTGGCTTTAGTGTTTGGGTGAAAACTATGTGGGCTATTTTTACTTTTAGGAATAGTTTTGCTTGTGGGATCCTTAATGGAACTTGGGAAGGTACACCGGAGATGCATCTAATTTTACTAGTACTATGAATCTAGGGATATTTGAGGTTGGCAGCGTTGCCAAATATTTTTCTACCACTTATGCCATTGGGAAATCATGTCTGCACTTGGTTTAATGTGATTATCGATCATCTAACAGACCTTTTATTTTTATGGTTATTTTCTAAGATGTTGGTATCCACAAAATTGTGCAGCTTGCCAAGAAGTATCATCCAGATGCAAATAAGAATAATCCTTCTGCAAAGAGGAAATTTCAAGAGATAAGAGATGCCTATGAGGTTTGTAGTTTTGGTTGGATTGTGAAGTATAATAATTATTATCATTATATATATTTTTTTTTAAATTTTCTGATGCGATTTAGTCTGATAGTTGTACTTTCTCTGTCCATTACCATCATGATTATTAACTTCTGTTCTTCCTACTAAAAATGTAACTGATCTTGTTCTGACATGGTCCCACTAGCCCCAATTCTCTTTATGATGATTTGCTCATTCTGGTATATTGCAGATTCTGCGAGATTCTGAGAAGAGGGCTCAGTATGACATGGTAACTACTCTTTTTCTTCTTTCTCCATCTTTTTCTTTTCATTTACTTATGTATTCTTTCACTTCTAGTTTGTGATTCTGTAGTCATTACGTATCTTTGGTCTGTCTTTAATAATGTTCGGTGTTTTTGCATGAGGCACTTAACTTTTACATATTAAAAATCTCAAAATGTATGCATTTTGATTCTTGTGTCACACTAAAGGTTTTCAAATTAACTGAATTATTCTTTTTATCCTTATGATTAATGAAGGGGCGAAGTAGAGGCTCGGAGAATATAGACTATAATACTGGTGGTGCAGAGGGGTTTCGATATGCTTATCAAACTCATTTCTCTGATTCTTTCCATAAAATATTCTCTGAGGTACTTCTCCTCTCCTGTTTTCATGTTTTCATGTTAATGCAATCTATTGTCCTAACCTGTTAGTATTGAATTTAGAAGTCATTGATGGTTTGCAGATTTTTGAAGAGGAGACTGACCAATTTGCACCTGATATTCAGGTTAACCTTTTTGCTTCTGGTCACCAGTATCTGTATAAAACTAAGTCTTTACATTCCCAAGTTAAATATTTTTCCATGTTTTGCTTGGAATTCCATAGGTGGAGCTTTTACTCTCTTTTTCTGAAGCTGCTAAAGGATGTACAAAACATGCGTCTTTTGATGCATTTGTGCCCTGTGATTCTTGCCGTAAGTGAAACTATAAAATATCTTGGAATAATACCATGTACAGGAAATCAGCAACAGAAGGCCTCAATTGCATCTACATTACTCCTTTCACTTATTATTTCAAGAATTTTTTAGTTTCATTGTCATTAATGTTTGAGTTTCTTCATCCTTTTTCTATTGATCCAGATGGGCATGGCTACCCAATAGATGCCAAAACAAGAGTCTGTCCCAGATGCAGAGGCATAGGAAGAGTAAGTGCTTTGAAGATTTACATTGTTGATGAATAGTGGATACAATAATACTATGGGTACTAACGATTTTTACTAACTAGCATACTAACCTAAAGCATAGTACGGATACCATATGTAATTTTAACAAAGATTAGTACGCTGATTAGTAAAATTCGTTAGTACGCGTAGCATTACCCTAGTGGATAAATCCTTCTGAAATCACTTTGTGAAGACAATATCTTTGCTTGTTGTTGGAGAATTTGACTGGTTATCTATTTAAGTAATCTTTCTAATGTTAATCTACTTTGAAACAGGTTACAATTCCTCCATTTACGTCAACATGCAGCACTTGTAAAGGAACGGGACAAATAATTAAGGTCTGGTGTGAATTCGATTCAATATTTTCTTCTATGCATTCAATTTCTGTAACTAATATTAGTAATTTTCTGTTTCCCCCTCTGGTCCAGGAACACTGTATCTCATGTAGAGGATCAGGGGTGGTTGATGGCGTCAAAGAAGTCAAACTGACAATTCCAGCAGGTTAAGTTTTAATGCTCATCTTTGATAACACCATTAAGCTATATTGGGTGGCCAAAATGTGGGTTTGGGAAGGTTATGTAAAAAAATTAAAATAGTTTAAAACAGAATGATGAGGTTGCAATTAGATTGGTTTGATTTTGAATTTTTTCTTTCATATAACTTGCTTTATGATGATTGTCAAAGTTGTATCTTGTGTTAAGGTCCATGGGTAATACAACTATTGAAGATTATGAAACTGCATGCTAAATACTTGCTGCAAAACTTGTGAGTATTATGTTGAGAGTTTATATGGCTGCACAATTATTTTGATGGTTTGGTAAGATATGTGCTATTTTGATTTGACGTATCAAACATTTAGTTAATTGGGAATGCAAATGCATCAAGCCGTATCTTACCATTTATTGACAAAAATGTATTGAAGTTATATTATATTATTTTTACTGTCGAATTTTCTGCATTCATCTTTTTGATTATTTCCCCTGTTCTTTTTCAATAAATTAGGGGTGGACTCTGGAGATACAATACGTGTTCCAGGTGCGGGTAATGCTGCTGGACGAGGAAGCCAACCTGGGAACTTATTCATTAAACTAAAGGCAACATCTTTTACACTTTTTTTCCTTTGCTTGGTTGGCTATATTTATCATTTGATGTGGCCTGCATCTATATTTGAAAATTAGATTATGAAAATACTTGAACATGATTTAAGGTAGTCTTGCACATAAAAATGGCATATTGGTAATAGAACTGAAAGTAATTGTTTGTTGGGATGCTTATTCTTTTTTACTTTCTGAACATTATTTTTTTTCTTTTAATTAGGTAGCCAATGATCCTGTCTTTACTAGAGATGGTGCAGATGTTTTTGTGGACTCTAATATCAGCTTTACACAAGTGAGCTCTAAATCCTTTGTGAAGCGTTTGTTGCACTTTTCTAGTTTACCTTCTGATTGGATCTATGCTTAAGGCCATGTTTAAGTCCTCTTCACTGCTTCATAATTAATCAACATCTTTATCTCTCTTTGTTTTTTTTGGANTCTATTGTCCTAACCTGTTAGTATTGAATTTAGAAGTCATTGATGGTTTGCAGATTTTTGAAGAGGAGACTGACCAATTTGCACCTGATATTCAGGTTAACCTTTTTGCTTCTGGTCACCAGTATCTGTATAAAACTAAGTCTTTACATTCCCAAGTTAAATATTTTTCCATGTTTTGCTTGGAATTCCATAGGTGGAGCTTTTACTCTCTTTTTCTGAAGCTGCTAAAGGATGTACAAAACATGCATCTTTTGATGCATTTGTGCCCTGTGATTCTTGCCGTAAGTGAAACTATAAAATATCTTGGAATAATACCATGTACAGGAAATCAGCAACAGAAGGCCTCAATTGCATCTACATTACTCCTTTCACTTATTATTTCAAGAATTTTTTAGTTTCATTGTCATTAATGTTTGAGTTTCTTCATCCTTTTTCTATTGATCCAGATGGGCGTGGCTACCCAATAGATGCCAAAACAAGAGTCTGTCCCAGATGCAGAGGCATAGGAAGAGTAAGTGCTTCGAAGATTTACATTGTTGATGAATAGTGGATACAATAATACTATGGGTACTAACGATTTTTACTAACTAGCATACTAACCTAAAGCATAGTACGGATACCATATGTAATTTTAACAAAGATTAGTACGCTGATTAGTAAAATTCGTTAGTACGCGTAGCATTACCCTAGTGGATAAATCCTTTTGAAATCACTTTGTGAAGACAATATCTTTGCTTGTTGTTGGAGAATTTGACGGTTATCTATTTAAGTAATCTTTCTAATGTTAATCTACTTTGAAACAGGTTACAATTCCTCCATTTACGTCAGCATGCAGCACTTGTAAAGGAACGGGACAAATAATTAAGGTCTGGTGTGAATTCGATTCGATATTTTCTTCTATGCATTCAATTTCTGTAACTAATATTAGTAATTTTCTGTTTCCCCCTCTGGTCCAGGAACACTGTATCTCATGTAGAGGATCAGGGGTGGTTGATGGCGTCAAAGAAGTCAAACTGACAATTCCAGCAGGTTAAGTTTTAATGCTCATCTTTGATAACACCATTAAGCTATATTGGGTGGCCAAAATGTGGGTTTGGGAAGGTTATGTAAAAAAATTAAAATAGTTTAAAACAGAATGATGAGGTTGCAATTAGATTGGTTTGATTTTGAATTTTTTCTTTCATATAACTTGCTTTATGATGATTGTCAAAGTTGTATCTTGTGTTAAGGTCCATGGGTAATACAACTATTGAAGATTATGAAACTGCATGCTAAATACTTGCTGCAAAACTTGTGAGTATTATGTTGAGAGTTTATATGGCTGCACAATTATTTTGATGGTTTGGTAAGATATGTGCTATTTTGATTTGACGTATCAAACATTTAGTTAATTAGGAATGCAAATGCATCAAGCCGTATCTTACCATTTATTGACAAAAATGTATTGAAGTTATATTATATTATTTTAACTGTCGAATTTTCTGCATTCATCTTTTTGATTATTTCCCCTGTTCTTTTTCAATAAATTAGGGGTGGACTCTGGAGATACAATACGTGTTCCAGATGCGGGTAATGCTGCTGGACGGGGAAGCCAACCTGGGAACTTATTCATTAAACTAAAGGCAACATCTTTTACACTTTTTTTCCTTTGCTTGATTGGCTATATTTATCATTTGATGTGGCCTACATCTATATTTGAAAATTAGATTATGAAAATACTTGAACATGATTTAAGGTAGTCTTGCACATAAAAATGGCATATTGGTAATAGAACTGAAAGTAATTGTTTGTTGGGATGTTTATTCTTTTTTACTTTCTGAACATTTTTTTTTTTCTTTTAATTAGGTAGCCAATGATCCTGTCTTTACTAGAGATGGTGCAGATGTTTATGTGGACTCTAATATCAGCTTTACACAAGTGAGCTCTAAATCCTTTGTGAAGTGTTTGTTGCACTTTTCTAGTTTACCTTCTGATCGGATCTATGCTTAAGGCCATGTTTAAGTCCTCTTCACTGCTTCATAATTAATCAACATCTTTATCTCTCTTTGTTTTTTTTAGATGGAAAATTACAGTTTAGTTTTTTTAAATTACTTTCTTTTACCATTCTTATAGCCTCTTACTTTTAGTGGACAGTTAATCTAATTTTTGTTTAAGTACCTGGTTATTTTCTTTTTAAAGTGACCACCATCATAATATTCACTTTTAAAGTTGTGACTGCACCTGACATTGACACTGTAGCATTAGCAGTGAATCAGAGTATGCAGATTCTGGGAAGGATTTTAGAAAGTGTTTATCTTCTTTATACATTGCAGCATTAATATCATATATATAATTGTTAAATGACTGCATTGTTAACCACTTTTTAATCATTTAGTGGTAATTGGGGTTTCTAAGTTATGCTATTTGAATCCCTTCGCTTCCCTTGGGCCTATTTTGCAAATTCTTGGGTCCTTCGACACTGGAAAGATGCGTTCATGGATGACATATTTTGTTTTACCTTTAGTTTATATTTTAGATGAACAATACATGTGTTATACCTTCCAAAAGGGCTCCTCGTCTTTAGACAGTTTCCACTGCTAATATAAGAGAGGGTCCCATTCTTGACCTTCTTATCTTTGGCAATCTGCTAGAACTATTAGAAATAGGGTTCTTGTATAGAACTTGAGTTTTTTTTTTTCCCAGGCGTCATACCCATCTACCTAGCTTCTTCATCCTGAATGAGTATACTGAAACAATAATGTTTGCATTTGAAGTTGAATTAGTCTTATAAACAAATGCAAGTTTGAATTTCTTACAGGCTATTCTTGGCGGAAAGGTTGATGTGCCTACTTTGTCGGGGAACGTGCAAGTAAAAGTAATAGTTCTGTCCTATTTTCTTTTATACACATCTATAAACATAATATTACTTTGCATTTTAACTGAAGGTAGACTTTTTTGTGTTGTATATAGAGTTGAGTTTGTGTTATGCTAACTAATTTTTGTTTGCGATTATTGCTGTAGCAGATACCAAAGGGGGTTCAGCATGGGCAACTGTTAGTCTTAAGAGGGAAAGGTATTGAATCTTATTTTGTCATGCTTAAGTTTCTCCCATCACTTAATATGCTTAACCTATAAGTTCGTGCAGGACTACCAAAACCAAAACCTGGTTTTCTTATAGACCATGGAGATCAATATGTGCGCTTTCGTGTTAACTTCCCTAAGTAAGCTTTCTTTTCGACTCTTGTTGCATTATTAAATATATTCGTAAATGCAATATTTTGATATTTTATTATTCACTATACCGCCCAAGGTGCTCACTTAACATACATTTGTTAATAAGGATGAGTGTGATGCTTGGAGTGATTGTCTTTGGAGATTCCTTTTTTTGGTTTTCTTTTCTGCAATGTTATATATTCTGGACATACGAATAGAAATTCTATTTTTGCTGAAGAGAATTTGGCTAACCAGCAATTCCTTAGTTGTGTCTGGAACTTGAGATAGAGAAAATTGAACTTAATGGTTACTTGAGTATTTGATTATGTTAAGGGTGCCCACTTATGTTTTTCGCTGATCTTGAACTTGCATTTTGTTCTTGTTTGTTCCATTGGTTGACTCTTCATTACTGTAAACTTGGCTTGGAAGTCAGTTTTGTTGGTTGTGCTGTGAAAACATAGGATCGGTACCATGTGAAAATGGGATTTTGTTACCATAAAAATAATTTTCAATTTGCAAATATATATTTTTAGATACTTTTGTCTTAGTTGTATGAAAGTGTTTTCTGCCTCCTCTGTTGCGTCCCTATTTCACTGGTTCTACTTTTCTTTGTTGTGCATAAGCATAGCTACTAGATCTTATTCCCATGGTTTATTTTCAATGGAAAGATGTGGCGATTTTGAGGACTTGAACTTGTTATCTTATGTTTCAAATTGATAGATCATTTTTAAAGATAGAAAAACTGTGGAATCTAGCAGTCATACTTAACTTTGACAGTTTGTTTAGTAATTTAAATGTGGAAATGAGATCTTTCACTCTGATTACTTTTAGAACTTGGGATTGTGTTTTGTGTGGTTAGCTAGAAGAAATGAGCTATATCATTTGGAATTTATTTTTTCTTTTTTCTTTTTTGGGTAGAGCCTTAAATGAACGCCAACGTGCTATATTGGAGGAATTTGCAGAAGAGGAAATTAATAATGAGAACAGCACCTCCGGTGTAGGAAATTGGTAAGTAATTCATGTTTTCATGACATGTTTCCTTATCCTTGTTATCATGTTACTTACATGAAATTTCATTAGTCTATGCATAGTAAAGTTTTATGTGTGATCCTTCCATAGAGTTCTTTGACATAATTTAGTACAAAAATTTGTCTGCTGACTATACTGGCCAATGTTGGAGGAGAAAAGAATTTGGGATAGTCTAAGCTGCATGTTTGTTGTCTGACATCTAGAGGATAGTTTTGTGTGTTTGCCTTCTTTCATATCTCAGAAATGTTCTTTCTCCACTAAAACCAGTGTGTTTTTAACACTGATATTGGACTTTGTATGTAAAGAACTATGTTATTAAATTTGAATTCTATAGACAGTCAAATTAGTATCTGTTTGAAGCAATTAACTTAATTCTGACTTTAGAAGGTTGGTGCTATAGTCGTTTTACCGTTTGTAATGAAGATCCTGAAATGGATAACAGGCTTTATCAGCAGCTATCTACTGGTTGAACTTTCAGGTGGCAGCAAATTGTTGAACGAGTATCAGGTCCCAAGTTTATGCTTGAGTTCTCTCTATTCTTATTAATCCTCTTGTTCCTGAATAAAACAATGGGCTGAACACAACTCAACGTAACTTTGATGGAGAGATATGTTACAACCATAATGAGATCTTGGGAGTGCCACCTTCACCATTTTGAAGGATTTCAGCAAATCTAAAGTCAACAGTTTAATTACACAATCAGTCAAGTACCTTTTTCAACCCCATTCATTGGCAGCAAGTCGTTGCCTGTTTTGCTCTCTTTTTGGTTCCGCTATAGTTTCAATATGTTGATAGGTCATTGTTGCTGTAAAGAATAATAAATTTCCAGTTATAGTGGTAAATTTAATTGAATTTGTATCTGTTTCCATTTTTATTTCATATGCTAATGCAATACATCGGCCATTGCGAATAAATGCCCTTTTTGGGTTACGGTTGAAGAAAGCCCACAGCCGCGAAATAAACAGTAATGAACATGTGATGAGATCTAGCCCATGAGCTTATACAGCTATAAGATACACAACATACGGAAACCATTTTGATCTGGTTGGGTTGTAAACCTTCTCAATATTTTCTTTGTTTTCTTTATTAGAGTTGAGAATAATATTAAACCCAAATCTCTCAATTAATTTCTCAAAGACTTGGAATTGCTATCCTGATAAGAGTCCCATTGTTTATCCTTATTAGTGTTTAGGGGAATTTGAACTCAAGAGCTTATAAAACCCTTTTTGCTCTTTCACAATCAAGCTACCCAGTGGTGATTAATTGAACAAAGTTTGATGAGATGATATAACAAAATTAAGATGCTGCACCACTTGACAACTTTTTATTTTAACATTCTAAATGTAGATCATTACAGATAATTAGGCTAGAACGAGGAAAGATTGGTGAGAAGTGAGGACCGCATGAATAAGAATAATTCAGATAGATGCAAATTAAGGCAGGCATGAGAAAGAAAAGGTGATGCTTATAGCTTGTTCTACTTCATATATCTAATAAATGTATTAATTGCCCTGTTATTCATCCGGACCTAACATATCAAGCGCATCTCTGCGTTCGATAAAACCGACATAACAATATTCAATTTGCTCCATATCAATCCATAAAAGTTCAAATCCACCCCCACCCGTATTTAACTAAGCACTAAACCAAACATGGTTGGATCAAACACGGTGCATGTGCGTATCTGAACAGCAAGTTGATATATATGTTTTAGTGAGAGATCATGTATGATATTGATAGGGACATCAAATAAATGCACAGACAAGATAAACCAATTGATATAAAGGGTTTTTTTATTTCTTTTCTTAAAGTCTCTAGTTTTAAGTTAAAACGAAGATTAAATTATTTAATATTGGCACGAACATGAATCTTTGCCAGCAAAGATTTGGCTCGTTTGCCTAAAAGATAATACAACAGGTATGAATGCGGTTCATCATGGGTTAGAAACCGGAAGCATCTCTGTTTGAGGAGTTTGTTTCTCCTTTTTCGTGTGTTTTACTTCCCCGTAAAAGTATGAAGCAAAGCCCCAAAGGGATAGTGCAAGAGAAACACCCTTTTCTGCTTGAAACTTTTCTTGGTAGAAAATCACTGCCAGAATTTCTGTCACCGGAAGTAGAACAGCGATGATTATAGCTGATAACAAAGACGACCCGCAAAAAATCACACCTATTGCTCCTAAGAAAAAACATTGCCAGATTAATGCACTTCCCATCATCAGCACATAATAACTTGTTTCACCCAGCCCGAACTCTCTAGCTTCTCTTCCAATGACCTACAAAAATAAATCAACTTTCATGAATCTGGAATTGCAAATATTAATTTATTTATTTCTGCGTAAAGATTTTGAAATTCTCGCGGGGAAAAACCCCGTGTATAACCACTCGGCCAAAGTCACCACGATGTTGAAATCTCATCGTTACTTTTTTTTTTTTTTTAGAGTGTCACAGGTATCTTGCTGAATGATTGAGGTTTAGAATAATTCTCCTTCCTTTATGATTATGCCTGTAAAAAGACCTCCACAGAATGGACCCTAGCATATGGGATGTCTTCCAGTCACTAAAACTAAAGTTTACCAAGGGTTATACTACAGAATGGCCACTTTGTAAGTTAGGCCCTCCTTCCATTGGACACTATATCTTGAAGTGATAAATGAAGAACTTGTGATGATACCCATCTGTAATGGACCACTACTTGGCATTTGAATATATAAAAGAGTGCCGGGATGGGAGATATTGGTCAGTATACACTTGACTAGTAATTTTGTTTCTTTTCCTTCTTTTCTATTACATTTATTGTTGTATCCAATAGGGTTAAGGAGTTCTTATGTGGCAAAAACTAAAATGTATTGTCAGTATTTTCGTATGTTAAACAAAACAAATCCATGCATGGTTTTGTTTTCTTTATTAGCCAGGGCTGTCATGACGACTTTTGGTCGTAGTTCGTTGATTCGGCTGACAAAATTTGATTTTAAAAAATAAAATATTCCTTAGACTCGGCCACAACAATACTTTGTCAAAGTGCTTAATTTTTTTTTCTTATTAAATAATTTAGTAATAATAAACCTAGCGCTTTATTTTATTTTATTTTTTGCTTATTAAATTGTTTAGTGAATAATTAATTAATAATGAACCTATAATTCTTTGATCAGCAATTGTCATGTGTGTAAGCTTCACTTGGCATAGAAGTAGATGACAATCTAAAAATATGCAGACAGATGATGATCTAAACTAGAGATATGCAGAAGACGGCAAAAGAGAAAGACAAATTACCTTGAAGTCATTGTTAATTAGCATTCCCACAGTACACACAGCTGTAGCAAACAAACACATCACCATCTGAATCTCCAACACGAGAGCATAGCTTATTTCTTGTTTGGCCTTCTTGTACGTCAACTCCACCAGCGGCAAGATAAGCCCGTATATAGCCGCCGCCGCGACTGTCATAAGAAACCCGAATACATACTCCCTGCTTGATTCATTAGCCGGCCGATCACTGCTCGTATGTAGAGCTAAAATACCAGCTCCTATACTCAACAGAAAAATAGCATTTGTTGAATAACAGGTGAACTTTTGTTTGACCAAAAGAAAAGCAAAAGCTGCAGTGAAAGCCAACTGGGTAGCGATGATCAAAGAAGAAGTAGAAACAGGAAGACGAGCCATGCCATAAGCGTAGAGATAGTCATCGAAGCCAGTTAGTACGCCAATAACCGCTGAGGCAATGAATATTGGAGTTTTCATCAAGAAGAAGTTGGTGGGTGATGACTGGTTGCGGCGGCGATAAAAGTAACCTATGGTGATGGGGATGATAATAAACGGCCAAGCGGCGGTTTCAAGCCAGCTTGAGAGCCAAATTCGTTTGCCTCCGTGGATGAAGTAGAGACGCATAACTAGTGGGCCGCCACAGTTGCCTATAGATAAGAGGATAACGTTTAGGAAGAGAAGAGCTCTTTTCATGGCGGTACTGGGCTTACCAGCTGACTCCATCTCCGCCATTCTGTGAGTTGAAATTGAGCTGTTTGTGTGTATGTGAATGGTGAAATAACTTATAGTCAAGCGTTCACTAAAAGACAGGATTATCTATCATCAGTACAGCCCAAAACAAGAATAAGATGTGCATGTATATATAATACACACACACCAATTGTACATACCTCTGTTTTTCTTTGTTGATATAATTTGTGGGGTCAAACAAATTTGAATACCTGGTCATGTAATATTTTCCCATTACCAATCATTGAGCCAACTTGAGAACGTTTATCATGACTGAAAATTACCATTTGTGAAAATTACAGTGACAGATCGACTTGAATGATATATTTATGCATATGTGCGAGTACTGATGGTTTGACATAACAGTACTTGTGGCCATGGAAGCTACAGAAAACAAGACAATGAACCGAACTTTCCTTGGGTTCAGACTGGAAGAGGTTTTCGAAGCCGAACGTATCTTCTCTTTGAGTTGAAAGGTAGGAATTATTTCTCATGCTCGTTGACTTACATTAGGACAGACATAGGATAAGGTTTGGGAGTCATTTGAAACGGTAGGAATTATTTGAAATGGTTTGGGAGTCATATCTTCTCTTTGAGTTGAAAGGTAGGAATTATTTGAAAAGGTTGGATTGATTTTTCAGAAAAGAAGAAGCGTGTTGATTTTACTCTCACCTTTATTTTTATTTAATATACTTTATTGATCCTGTATCTACTTTGTATCCTTTTTAGAATTAGTAAATTACAGATTATAAGATTTTTAATAAAATATTATATACTAAGAACTATCTTTTATGTAATTAATATTTTATCCAAATAAAAGATAAAATTAACCAGTTGTTGGACTGTTACCCATTGCCATTGCTAATCAAACAGCTGCTTTGACCCACAATCTAAGGATTCCTATTTATCCAGCCGCCTAAATGGAAATATCTAATGAATCATTTGCATCAAATTATATATATATATATATATATATATGGATTACTTGACAGTGACACATTTTAGGAGCTCTAAAATTATTCTATTTCGATACATTGAATTTATAAGTCAATCAAATTGCTCTATCTTAACACATTAGGTTAATATTTATTGCTCTATCTATAATTATTAATGAATTAAAAAAGTAGGATATGTAGTAATAATTAATAATAATAATACAGGTGCATTGCATTAGTATTCTAAAGATCTAATTATAATGATATCTTAAATTTGTGATTGCTATCTGATTGAATTTTATTGGTGATGATGCGGACAATATTAATTATTACATTGGTATTCCAAAGTCTAAATAAATATACATAAATATTGAATTATATAAGTGCATTGCATTGATTGTATTAATAATTAATAATAATACTAATTATCTAGGTGCATTGCATTGACATTCTAAAGGTCTAACCATAATGACACTTTGGATTTGTGATTGTCATGTGGTTAAATTTTATTGGTGATGATGTAGATAATAGTAATTACTGCATTGGTATTCCAAAGTCTAAACAAATAGACATAAAGATTGGATTACATAGGTGCATTGCATTGGTAGTAAAAGCATACATGTTTATTGATAATTATATAGGTACATTGTATTGACATTGCAAACTTTTCTTCGTAATCAATTTGTATTTAATTGTGTTGGCATTCGAAAGGTCTAAATAAAATATTATAAAAGGAGTATATATTCAGTTGTGTATTATCGCAATATATTAGTTGGTGTCAACAATACGTCTGGTTTTTTGTTAATTGTTTATAGGTCATGTTAGTTTGTGTCAATAATACGTCTGTTCTTCATGATTTTATTAATCGATGATTTCTTATTTATTTATGTTTTTGTTGTTGTTTACAAGTCAAAGATTCATGAATTGATATAGACTAAAGGAATGAGGTCCGATTGACATTATCAAATGAGTTGTTATTTTGATTCGTTCTTTTTAACTATAAGTATACCTTCTAATTATTTTATTAATAAATTATAAGTATATCTCTTAACTATTTTAACAGTTATTATTTGGTTGAATGATTGTTTTTGTTTGGTCAATCTATTTGAATAATTAATTGTGTTAGTCCTACTGAATGGTAAGTGTATTCCTTAACAATTTTAATAAGAAGATTAATTAACTTTTGTTGATTTCGTTTTCAGGTAACAGTTGTTATACGAATGAATAATTATTCCTTAACAATCTTAACAAAAAGATTGATTAAATTTTGTTATATTTGTTTTCAAGGAAATGTTCATGTACTTTACTAAGATCAAATTGAGGATGATCTTACTATCAACCGAACTATGAGTATGTGTCATATTTATATTAGTAGAAACAATTCATTTGTGTTGAATATGTTTTCTATAAAAACATTTATGTATTTTAATTTGTTATATGAATGATTAATTGTTTATGTCCTGCTGATGTGCGAGTATATATTTTAAATAAATTAATTTTGGTTGATACCGTTTTCCAATTAATAGGTGTTATTTGAAATATTTCTTGTCAATCCTAATATGATAATCCCTTAAATTTGGGTTAAGTAAATCATTCATTTTATCATCACACGCATTTCAGTTTCACTAAACAATCAGTAGTAAATTGACTATAACTTGCTCAATAAAAATCCAATTGATGTAAGGATTGAATATTTAGAAACTAGACAGACAAAGCTTTAATTTGATATATTATATGCTTAATTTGGATAACTATAGTCCTACTTTCGAACAATTCATTTTATCATCACACACATTTTAGTTTCCATTAAATAGTTAATAGTAAATTGATCATAACTTTTTCAATAAAAATCCAATTGATGAGAGATTTGAATATTTAGAAACTAGACAGATAGGGCTTTAATTTAATATATTATATGCTTAATTTTGATAACTGTAGCCCCACTACCGTGAAAGAAATAAGATATGAAAAAGGATTCTGGCCTCAATACCAAACCGGTTCGTGTATTAGTTTATTTATACAGCTCAGGTTGTTATACTTACAATGATAAGAATACATTTGAAATAAGCAATAGATATCAAGTACAAGATATGCAGAAGCAGAGTTTAAAATGGAATCAAGTTGTTGGAGCCGATAAGGTAAAGTTGATAGAGGATGAGGCAGCCATTTAGACGAGGTAAAAAAAAAAAATATATATATATATATATAAGGATCAGTGTAGACGTGCGTGAGCAGAGTGGCTCTGATACCATGAAAGAAATAAGATATGAAAAAAGGTTTCTGGCCTCAATACCAAACCAGTCCGTGTATTAGTTTATTATACAACTCAGGTTGTTATACTTACAATGATAAGAATACATTTGAAATAAGCAATAGATATCAAGTACAAGATATATGGAAGCAGAGTTTAAAATGGAATCAAGTTGTTAGAGCCGATAAGGTTGTTGCAGATGCTGAAGCCGTTGGCGATAAGTCTGTTGTGTTGAGAGTGGACTGAGTCTCTTGCTTAATATAACGAACCATTCAATTTATCATCACACACATATCGGTTTTCACTGAACAATTAGTAGTAAATTGACTATAAATTGCTCAATAAAAATCCAATTGATGAAAGATTTGAATTTCTAGAAACTAGACAGATAGGGATTTAATTTGATATATTATGTGCTTAATTTGGTTAAATGTAACCCTACTATCTAACAATTCCTTTTATTATCACACACATTTTGGTTTCCCCTATTTCTCGATTTTCACTGAATAGTCAGTAGTAAATTAGTCATAACTTGCTCAATAAAAATCCAATTGATGAGCGGTTTAAATCTTTGAAAACTAGAAAGATAGGGCTTTAATTTGATATATTATACGATGAATTAAGATAATTATAGACCTACTGTCGAATCATTTATTTTATCATCACACATATAAAAGAAATTTAATTTTAGTGATAACAAAGGAAAACAAATATTGATATATAGTTTTATTGTATTTGTTATATTTCTTTTTGTTGATTTTTGGATTTATTTTATTGTTTAATTTGTGGATTTTGTGGCTTTTACAACTATCATATTTCTTTAGGATGCTATCATCCAATGTTTTCTTTGCTATAAGTGGTGGTCAATTCTAATTGCAGTAAATAGATTTGTATCACAAGACCTTTATCTTCATGACTTATTCAATATTGCAATTAAGTTTCCTTGAGATTATACTATTGGAGTTGTTGCTGCTTTCTATGTGAGTTCTCTTCTCAACATTCTTAATTTTTTTTTTATTTCTAAAATAATGATAAAAAAATAATTCATTTTTTGTTCTCAACAATCAAAATCAGTTTTTTCTTTTAGCTCTGCAAGTCTCTTGCTTAAAAGTTCACATTTTTCAGCAATGTTTCTTTTTTTTCTGATTGATTTATAGACTTATCAATAATACTTAGTGGGTTATCTTGCAATTTTTTTTGCTTTTCTTGATAAAATTTTAAACTTTGGTTACGAATTTCAAATAATAACATATTTGAGAAGAAATATGATGATATAGACTTTGAGTTCATTTTGTGGATATTTTATTTATTGATTTTTTAATTATCAATTCAATATAAAATGAATTTCAATATAGAAAATATATATTTAAAACACAAAAAAAAACAATAATAATGTAAAAAAATATGTAATAAACATACCTGCGCAACGCAACTTGAAAAGAAATATAAGTTACAGAAATTGCGAAAACTCAGGATAAATTTTAAGTTTAAATAGTTGATATTAATAATATTCAGGTGATCTTAAATATCATACATGATTCATTACAAAAAAACTGTTATTAAATATTAAAGACATGCCTGCAAAAATAATATTAATAATATAAGGTGATGATCCTGAAAATATAATTATATCATATAATATTCAGATGATTTTCTCAAGTTAGATGAATGATTTAATGATATATACCTATAATTGATATTAATAATTATATAGATATAATTATTAATTTTATTTTAACCCAACTTTATATATATATATAAAATTTATATTTACTTTAAAATGTGTATAATGTCACAATTATTTTATCTTAATCTAATGAGTTTATTTTCTTAGAATAAATTTATTTACAACCTATTTCAAAATATTAAACAAAGATATCCAAATAACACGCAGCCCAATGTCTAGTTTGTATAATAATTATGAAGTTTTATTTTTCCCCCTTTTTTTTTTTTTTTTTTTTCTTTCAGATTTTTTGATATATTATACTTGTAAATGATTTAAAGTTAGAATTAATGGCCACAAAATTTTGTGGATC